ATCCTTCGGGATTGAACATAGAGAATGCGTAGCAATGTTAATTATAGTTAACAGGATATTGTTATTTGTATGGTAAATCACTTATATTCATATTATGCATAATTAGCAAAATTGGGAGGGTATAAATTGGGTTCATGTTCGTCATGTTCAGTTTATTATAGTATATAGAGATATAATTTAATTTTTAAAATAAAGGGTGAAGAAGACGATTTTCGACTCATCGCGATGAGTCGAGAAGAGCTTTTATTTCAATAAATATTCTATTCTTATTCCGTATAATATTTGTATTTTCACAGATTTTACTTCAGTTTCCACGCGGATATTCTAGTATTGATGGCATGAAGACAAAGGAAGTGAACGGTACAGTTAACTGGAAGAGACTTAGAAATATGTTTATTCTGATGATAGTGATGGTGGAAGATGACTTGAATATCTGGCTGGTAGGCAATGTATATTCTTATTTAGAACCAAACACAACAAGTCGACAACAAACCGGTTACCTTACCTCACAATTTGTTAAAAGACGTAAGCAAGCGTACTATCTGTAATGCACAAAAACTATATAAACATTCCTTGTTCAACAACGTCTGGCCAAAGGACTTTTTACTATCGCACTGTTAGTTTATGGAATAACCTTCCAACGGAACTTAAATTAGTTAGAATTAGTTAGGTTAATAAATAAATTTTTATTGTCAACATAACTTCGTTTCCAAGCTTATTAACTTAATGGTTTATTAATATATGTAATGCGTAACGTTTAATTATCACTGAAAAGCCATTTTTGGGAATGGTGAATAGAGCGTTGTATACTTTGTTTAATTAACAAGTAAACAACTGCATGTACACCAAAACAATATCAGTATGCCACGAAAACACTTTCTACGCAATCTCTAGACCCAGATTCATGCAACCTATTTGCAAAGGAAGAAATAAAATATTTCTTACATTATAGCTCTTATGAACGATGTAGAACATTTTCTTATAGCTGAACTGAAGTGTATATAATATTTGTTTAGACACCAAGAAAAGTTAGTGAAGAACACTCATCCAAGGAAGCAGATAAAAAGATTGACAAACATTTTCATGTATGCCAAGTTAATGGTACTCCAATATTTACTCAACTATCAACAGTGAAAGTAAGTATGAAGACAAAAATACAACCTTTACGTGACCATCCATTTTGCCTTAATTTCATCGCTATCATAACCAAATAACCAATTGACATAACAATGTAATGAGCCTGCATGAATAAACGTTATATAATACTGTCTAAATCCTGTTATAATTTCTAAATAAATACTTATTTACGTGGTTTTAGTTAAGAGGTAATATTTGCAATTGTCGTAAGTCTTTCACAAAATGAATGAAAAGAACAATTCAAACAAGTGGATATATGAATACCTACGAAAAGAGTATCGTCTTTTACGGTATAAAGTTTTCGGGAAGTTATCCTGAATCGTGATAGAAACTTGTACATGCATCTACATGCAGTAGAGTATACTTTCGTTGTAGATAACAATAAAGGGTAAGGAAGATGTAAATGATACTGTGGATCCAAATGCTTTCGTTGAAACAACACCTGGAGATAAATTGCTAATTGAGGAAATACAAGGTAAAAAAATCCAATTGCTTTACTTTTGCTCTGTGCCTCGCAAAGATTCTAGCGGGCACAATAACGAGTTGAGTTGGCAAAGCCTCATCATGATCCATATTATCCATTGACGACGATCATCATAATATCTTGTTTCAGCCGCGCATCCAGGTATCGTGTCTGACGTGGTCATTACTGGTTATCTCGAAAAGACATGGAGAGGAAGTGACCTGAAAGATGATGACTCTGTCATGTGGAGGTAGGAGAAATACTTATAGTCAGTTTGGTAAATGGGAAACATTGAAAAACTGGTCTACCAGTACGCGTTATTAACTCGTTATGTACTATTTAAAACACGAGCAGGAGTGCTTTATCAGATATAAAACACGTGAACGCACTCGAGTGTTTTAAATCTGATAAAGCACGGACTGTGCGTGTTTTGAAAAACTATTTCTAGGTCTATTAACCGTGATCTGACGAGTTCATTGGCGAAGTAATTTTTAAAATAAACGTTGTACTTGTCTAAGCCGAGAAAATCGAAACTAAAGTTTATATACACGATTTTTTATCACATATAAAACCACCGATATACGGTAGTGATTTCCATTGTCTTTTCCTCGTGAATTATTAATTAGTTTTAAAAATATACTTTAATAATTATGGGGAGTTTATATTGACTACGAGCCGATCACGCAATGTAATTTTTTCTAGGAATGTTATATGTTGGAACGATATCGGCAACGAACGCATATGGCTCGAACGCATATGGCAAGAATTGTGCTTGCCATTTAGTCAAATGTAAAACTGATATTTTATGTACTATTTACAACATGAGCGGTTGTGTTGTATCAGATATACAAACTCGAGCCGAAGACAAGAGTTCGTATATCCGATACAACACGAACGCGGATGTTGTAAATGGCTTGTGAAATGTCTTGATGAGAACATTAGTATTCTTCAATAATTTAATAAAAATGATGGATATTTCGTGAGAAAAGTGAACTTAAAGTTTATGTAAATCAGCATGATTTGGTATCAGATATACAAACTCATTCATGCCCAAGATTTCTTTTGTCTTTTCTTCATGAATTATTAATCAGTTCCACAAGCGAAGATCGATACTATAATGATTAAGCATTCAAAACGTATTCCCCGTGAAAGGCTTTTGTCTTTTTTTTGCATCAGATATGTTGCTACAGAGTCTGGAGTTTACCGGAGATATCCTGGAATTACAATGACTAAAAATATTAATCACAAAAACAGTCCATGGTGAGTTAATATCTCATTTTCTTTAATCAGTCTTGTTTGTTTTTTGAGATTCTGCATGTAGTGTATTGTGGTGGTGCGTGGGGTGGGGTGGGGTGGGGTGTGGCGTGCATGGTGTGACGTGTGTGGCGTGTGTGGTGTGTGTGGCGTGTGTGGTGTGTGTGGCTTGTTTGCGTGGGGTGGGGTGGGGTGTTGTGTGGTGTGTATGGCACTAATCGTTATATACTAGGATTTAAGCAAGACACATGCATCACTGTAAATTTCAATTTGTAATAAAGAATTAATAGTGTATTGCAGAGGCGTGAAACGATGTGGGATGGGATCTAATACGAATTATGGGAAAACGATGGAAACCAGGGTAGAAACAGAGTATTAATAGATGAATGAAAGATACGAACGAACAGATAAAACAGGACTTTAAGAAGAAGAAGTGAGGGGTCTTCTTGGGATATATATAGAATTACCAAGTTCGTGCAACATTAACAAATAATTTTTTTTTTTTTTTTCAATCATTCAGGTATCGTCAAGCTCTAATGAATCCTGGCAAATCAATCTTGTCGCATTCTTTTGTGGATCCTTTTGGTCGAGGAAAAGTTATATCAATCAGTAAAGCTGTTTTAAAGAACAGGTTTTGATTGCCAATCTTTTTTTAAAATGAATATTAAATATAGATTAAAAACTTAAACCAACCTAAACGGATATAAAATGTGAAGTAAGAAAATATGTCATTGTATGCATGCTACAGCTGAGTTTTTTGTTTGTCTCCAGTATATTTGATATATCTTACATGTAGACAAGGACATCTTCATGACAACATCAGTAACTGGCAAACATGGATCATGGGCGTGGCTGGTATAGATATGACATTCAGTTCTTTCAACAGGATGGCAATGAATGTGGTAAATTAATGGGGTTTTTTATGAAAATACAATCGAATGTTGTTATTACAGTAATAAAGACTTCACTTGTATTTTGGTCATCTTTATGACAGATGCCAGGTTGTTTGGATGAATATGATTGTTTCTTGATGGACCAAAGTGGGTAAGCCCGTAAGATGTTTGTGTTTGTCCCACGAAGGCATAAGGATTGTGCAGTATTAATTTGTTCCGTTATTACATTTAATGATATGCATGATATTTCATATGGATTGTTGTAGATATTTGTTTGTCAACTTAAATGAGCATCACCCACTAGTTCATGTTACTGAGAAATTTTCTTGGATTCCAAAACAGCTTGTTGAAACGCATCGGATTCTGAAGGTATTGTTGACCAGTCTGCAATCGTTTACAGGTTAAATGTTAGAGGTTGTCTTGTCTCGGGGTGGCTAACGTTGAACAATATTCAAGAAGTCATTGATTGAAAGATGCAATGTATAAAATTTATTATTCACGAAAAATATAATTATTGATGGTTTGCAATTGATGTCATGGCGGCCATGTTGGAGAAAGCTAACAAAAGAATATCATTAACAGCTATTGTATTTGGAGCGTGTTTTCCTCCAACATGGCCGTCATGTCATTGTCTTGTAAATCTCAAGAGATTGATTGCAAACCATCAATAGGGATAGTATATCGGAGAGTGCTGAGAATCATAAAGATAGAGCAAATATAATATATAATATGTGTGACCATCCATAATATAATAATAATATGCTTCTTCCATATTTCAATATAGCCAAGATGGTGTAACGACTTTGTGGATTTTAGAATTCAGTTCTCCTATGAAGTTGTTGTGACAGAAACAATAATTGCTCCATCACCAATTGTTTGTCGTCAATATATTCTAGCCCCTTTGGCAAATGTTAGTTTCTCATTGCTGGTTATACCATCCAGAAGAATACACCTCAATTGTCAAGATAGACTGGATAACGATCATTTTGAGGTATATGATTAATCGTGAGACAATTGTCAATTGATCACATTCATTAAAGCATGCATATACAATCTACTTCCTTTATAGGCTTGTCACTTATCTCAAACCTGTAAAACCTGTTCTCAAGATGTCACAGGGTGCCAGGTAGTTAAGCTGAATGAACATATTATGCTGTATATTTGTCAATTCATCAATTTATACGTACATACATAATGAATCCGAAAACAACAAACGATCATAAAACTGAAATCGGTTTTGAATACAACCATCAGGGACGTAGCAAAGCATCTGACGTTTGGAAGATGTTGGAGGATTACACAGTACGTATAATAAAGCTTTTTGTGATTGATTGGCACTCTCATACTAAGTTTTGAAGCTCTAGGACTGAATTTCTGGCGTTTTCTAAAGCAAATTCGCAAAAAAATTGCATGTAAATTGACTATATTTTACAGAAATGGTTATCATATTACAAAAATAATTACTTTATTACGCAAATTTTACCTGAAAATGTCAAAATTTTAACTTGAATTTTACATGATTTTTGCCTGAATTTCACAGTAGGGGGGAGTTTCCAAACCATCTATTCTATTAACTATGGTGGGAGTGAACACTCCAGACCCCTGCTGGACCAAAACTTTGAAACGTTTAGAGCCCCCCCCCCCTTCAGTATATCGAGAACTTTCAGAGCCCCCCCGCCTTTAATGCCAGAAAATATTTCGGTGCCTCCCCCTTAACATCTTCATCCCCCCCTCGGCATAATAAATGTACTTTCCCTTACTAAATTTGACGCTGTTCAAACGCTTTTCAAATCTTTTGGACTTACTAAAATTTTAAGAGTAATTCTTGGCACGCATATAAACAGGTCTTAAAGGTTTAATGTATTTAGTTTGATTTAATTTTAGACACCATGTTCATGTCCGATGTCGTTTGACCGATGCAGTAATTCAATAATGAACACATTTACAAAGATAACATGTCCAGGTGAGAGTGTTTGATCACAACATGTAATAACTTGATCGTTTTTTCATGTTTTTAGTCACACAATCATTAATAAAGCGTGTTCGGATAAACAAACATTAACATGTTAAGCTATTGTCTCAATATTTACGGTAATCAAAACACCATCAGGACGAACATTCAAGTGTTTTGTAAAATTAATACTTTATAACATTTAAATACACATTGCTTGAATTCCGCTATGTGGAATTTTTTTAGTGTCGGTATACCTGTATAGTGGGCTTATATTGGGGGGCTTATATTTGGAATGGTATGAACGTTAGTAATGTGATGGGCTTATATCTCAATCGCACAGGTCTGTTTTAAACTGCTCAAAATAAAGGAATTTAAATCCAACGGCCCTGATTGTATTCCTAATCGAGTGCTTAGTCAATATGCTTTTGAGAGTTAGCTGATCCGGTAGCCAAAATCTTCAACAAGTCTTTATTGCACTCTGAATTCCCTGTACCTTGGAAAGATGCTAACATCGTCTCAATCCCGAAAGCCCAATCGATAACGTGTGAGGATAAGACCCGTCCGATTGCCCTCACTGCCACTCTGTCAAAAGTTTTGGAAGACTTCGTCATCACCTGGATGATTGATGATGTCAAAGACAAAATCGATCCGAAGCAGTTTGGTAGCTTAAGGGGATCTTCTACAACATTCTCCATTATTGACATGATTAACAACTGGTTGCAGGCACTGGATAGCCCAAAACGGTATCTACATATCTGTTTTTTGGTTTCTCCAAAGCTTTTGACAGAATCAACCATAACATTTTGATTGCGAAACTCATAGCCCTTGGAGTAAGAAGATGTTTGATCCCATGGATATGTGATTTTCTTTCAAATCGACGTCAAGCAGTGAAGATTAATGAGTCTCGCTCGGAGTGGGCTTATGTAAATGGTGGTGTCCCTCAAGGAACAAAACTTGGCCCTATTTTGTTTTTAGTTATGATTAATGATCTGAAAATGAAGTCCCTAAACTCCTCTCATTGGAAATACGTTGACGATGTAACGATTTCTGAGGTTATAAAAGAAACTGAGGAATCGCGATTACAAACTGAACTCAATGAACTCCAACAATGGGCATGTGAGAATGATATGAAACTAAATGGGTTAAAATGCAAGGAAATGGTTATCAGCTTTTTACGACAAAGTGATAACTATACTCCATTACACATTAATGATCAACAATTGAAACTGGTTACATCTTTCAAGATTTTGGGTTTGACTATCTATTAATAATCACCTTAAATGGAATGATAACGTTGCAATTGTCGTAAAAAAAGCGTCGAAACGCCTTTACATCCTTCGGGTGTTGCGTCGATCTGGAATTCCATCCGTTGACTTGCTCTCAATCTATAACGCCTTAATCAGATCTGTTTTGGAATATGCTTGTGCAGTCTGGCATACCAGCCTACCTCAGTATCTTTCCAACAAAATTGAACGGGTGCAGAAACGTGCTCTGCGAATTCTGTACCCCTTCACTGATTATGCGGAAGCCCTATGTATCAGTCGTTGTTCTCGCCTTGATGATAGAAGGCATTCAATAAGTCAGAATACCTTACAAAAGATTGCTAAGCCTTGCTCGAAACTGTACCACTTGTTTGCCGTCAACTCGCGGAAACGTCCATGGGCGGAGTTTGAGAAACAATAATCAATTATCGCTTCCCAAATGTAGAACTGAGAGGTTTAAGAACAGTTTTATCCCGGCAATGTGCTATAGTCAAGTTGACGTATAGACCTTTATGGTCTTAACTTTTATATTAGGTTTTAACATTTATATTAGATATAGTAATTCATATTTTAGTATTTTTGTAAATTTTAGTATATTTCCATGTAAGCATATTGTAATTTATTTTCAATGCGATAATATGCAAATAAACTATTAATAATAATAATAATAATAATAATAATAATAATAATAATAATAATAATAATAATAATAATAATAATAATAATAATAATAATAATAATAGACGGGGGGCTTATATTCGGGGGGGGGGGCTTCTAATCGGAGGTTTACGGTATTTGCATCTTTTACCTTATTTAGTTATTTTTGGTTACATTTTGAACAGTTTGTAATTTTTGTAGCTCCAACGACCAACGCAAGTCTAGTGAACGCAGCATTATCTGATCATAAGACCTGGAATTCAACAAAAGTTCCAGAGTGTGAGAAAGTTTGTAATGCTGCGTAAGTTATATGATAATTTATTTTATGTCTTCTGTGATCTATTCCTCGCTCCTTCACTGATCCTGCATGCTGGGTCCGATTGGAGGATGGATTCAGTCTATACTGTACTAAATTTCAAATGTCAAATCGATGACCGATTTTATGGTTTTAGAATCGGGTAGATAAATCTATCAGGCCTTCGTACAGCCGCTTTCTGATCGATAGGTACATTTGCTATCTTTTACGTCATTATTAGGTCAAGCAAAGAAGAATGTTCTGAGATATCTCATTGTAGCTGGTGTGAAAATATCTTTGATTCATGCGAGAGTTTTTGTCCATTTAATCACAGGTATCCAGAATGTACATAGTTTCCAACTTGTGTCCATAAGCTACAAATGTTTTTTATTCGTTTGAGTAGAAGAAGTAGATGCAATTCTTTTCATTGCTTGAAAACGTAAGAAATCCTACGGTGTTATATTTTCAACTACAAATTATACTACGTGTTTCCAATGCTAAAACAAATTTCACGAGTATTCCTATCGTTTTAGGCTTAGTGGTCCTATATTAAACGAATCTATTGAGTGATACTAATACTTGTCCACAATTTCATGGGAGAGTTTATCAGTTGTTGCGTCTCAGTGCGTATTATTCTTGCATGCATATATACTGAACACTTCTGCTAAGTACATCTCGGTGTCATTCCTCGTGTTGCTTCAAGTGTAATTATACTAAATCGCGTTCTTTAAATATAGATTTTCTGTCTTGTCTCCTGATTTATAAACAGGTTAACACTAATATGGTTATTTCTGGTTTATCCAGGAAAATTTTAACCAGAGCATTTTTAGAGTGTGACGTTCTAGTGACTCGATAGGTCAATGGGTGGAGGAGTAGTAGCCCACAAACCCGAAGTTCCGATGAACTTCGAATCACACTCGAGACAAGTGATTTTTCGAAACAACTTTTAAGTTGTTTAAAAACTTTTAAGGTTTAAAAACCTTAAAAACCTGTATGTTTATAAATGACTTTTTTCCCTTTTACAGCCAACGGATTGGTCTAAAGTTTAATCTTGATCTGAATACGTTAATTCCCGTTTTAACTGACGTTATAAAAATAGAAATAAAGAAAAATTTACAGCAAACGATGTACAACACTCTTGGAGAAAAGTTAGAAAATAATATTCATGGCATAAATTTCAAGCAGGTAATTCTAATATATAAGTAATAGGTGCGATTTCGTTGAGAAAGCAAATGTAGTTGGCATGCCGAATGAGCTGAGTGCATAAAACGTGCATGCTTGGCAGGGTGTCGCGGAGAAGAGTGATAGATACAAACTTTAAGGTGCGTCAGTTCTACTTGTAAATTCCAGTACGTGGATGCATTACTGTGAAAGTGAAATCGAGACCACATCAACATTATTACACTGGAAGGACTGGAATATCAGGAGAATACCTGTAGTGTTTGTAAATTGTAATAAGCCTCTGCATTTGGAACTGTCCCTTATTTCCAGTACAATAACCATTCATAGCATATTGCATTATTTGTATCGTGGTTCACAGACAATGCTTGTGAATATTTTTCTAGAATTCCATTACCACGACCATTCAAGGATCTAGCATGGCTGAAATTTACGGCAAACTTGACAAAATCAACGATGCAATTGCATCAAGAACATTTTCCATTGACATCCCTGAAAATGGGGGACGCAAGACAATTATTCCCAAACAGTTATTTGTTTTAGGTATTACTTGTTTTAATAATGTTAGTCTTTCATCATTCAATTTACTTTGCACTTTACACCTTACACCTTGTACCTTACACCTTACACCTTACACTTTACACCTTACACCTTAGACCTTACACCTTACACCTTATACTTTATACCTTACACCTTACACCTAGCTTACACCTTATACCTTATACCTTATGTACCTTACACTTTACACGTTACACATTACACTTTACACCTTATACTTTACGCTTTACGCTTTACACTTTACACTTTACACTTTACACTTTACACTTTACATTTTACACTTTACACCTTACACTTTACACCCTCTGCTTTACACCTTACACTTTACACTTTATACATAACCTTATACTTCACCTCCCTTCCCTTCAATTCACTTCGTTTCACCTCCCTTCACTTAATTTCTCTTCATTTCACTTTACTTCCCTTTCTCTCTACTTCACGGCCCCTTACTTCACGTCAATTTACTTCTTCTACTTCACTTCACTCCCCTTTACTCCCCTTAACTTCCATTTTCTTTCCTGTCCTTCACTTTTCTGTCCTTCACTTTCCTGCCCTTCACTTTACTTCCCTTCACTTTACTTCATTTCAGTTCCCTTCATTTACTTCATTTCACATCATTTCAACTTCAGTTAATTTCACTTCAATTCACTTGACTTCAGTTTACTTACCTTATCTTACTTTACTAGATGTAAATGAATGTTTGACCAACGTGAATGATTGTCACATTAATGCGACATGTTTTGATACTGAAGATTACTATAATTGTTCATGTAAGTCTGGTTTTTTTGGAAATGGAAGAAACTGTAAAGGTGAGAAGCCTAAAATCACTCGTTATTAATTTCACTATTTGCATGTTTTCCTAAATGCCGGTGCACGTGTTTCAAATTCACTGCAACCTGTATCATATTTTTTAATTAAAATTGTTGGAGAAGAACTGAAGAAGTTGGAAAACGCACGCCTATCAAACTCATCTGTCCCAATAAACTTCTTTCCCAATAAACTTCTTTCCCGGGTGGAAATCTTAATCGGTTCTTATGCTAAGCATGATTTGCAAGGCGAGTCGCTGGTAGATCGAATGCAAATATT